CAACTTTGTTGCATTGAATAAAAAAGACCTATACTGGACTTACTGTGGGCAACAACAGTGGGAATATAGCTTTCTGGTAGTCTAAAATTTAAGATACGCGTAAAAACTGAAAAAAATAAAGCGTTTGTGACAACTAGCCCCGGTCTGATCTGCAATAGTAATGCGTGTAACACCAGTGTTATCCAGCAGGTGTCGCACGTTTATCCAAATAACAGTCGTTTATAGTTTGAGAAGTTGCTAAAATGTTTAAAAATCTTGCATTTTAATTTAAAGAAAATCTAAAAAAAAATGTACAACAATTTTTGTAATTATGTATATTTACATATAGATGGCATGTTTGGTCTCTTGCATGTTTCGTTCTAGATAAAAGGTAAAGAAATCGCTGTTTAATGCACCGCAGCTGCGCTGTTAATGAGACCACGTGATCAAATTATTGCGCTTGTGTGCGTTCTTAATAAAGCATGCCTCGTGTATGTTTTCTGCTCGATGGGATATTCTGAACGCTCAGGATGATCCTGTGAAACACGGCTTCCATTCTGACGAACTCGATCTGCGTCGCGTGTCTCTTTAAGCGCCGCGCGCTGCCTGGAATTCACGTCACTTCGCCGCGAAGCGTCCGGATCAATGAGGTTCCGCGCTGCGCGCTGCGTTGCGCTCCTGCGAGCGACGCTTCCAGGAAGGTGTTAACCATCGCGCTGCCGCAATGTAGCGCCTGCTCGCGCGTTTGCAAACAAGAGAAGTTGAAGTATTCCGCGCGGGGCGAGGCCAGTGGATGCGCGTTAAAATCGCCTGCGCGTCGCGAAGGGAACGTTATCCAGGGCTTTATTTCGCAGAAGAACAAGGGAGAGGAAAGTGGAAACAGAAGAACTTCCTGAATTTCAACGAGACATGTCCGATTCCCCCTCGCAGGTCATTATTAAGGTAATTCTGCCTTTTCTTTCTTGCCTCGAATGTAAACGCGCAAAGACGCGACGCGGTGTGCGATCATCTGTTGCTGTGATCGATCAGGGATCAATCAATCAATCGCGTTGAGCTGGCCGCTTGCGAGCGGGCTCTCGTGACTTCATGTGACGCGATGCGCGCGTTTAAACCACGCAGCTCGAGCCATCCGTGGGGAAAGTTTGAGAATGAGTTCCACTGCGCACGGGCACTTTAACCGCGTCTGGAAGCGTTGCGTCTCCGTAACATTAGCTTGCATTGGTTATTTAGTAACAGGCTCGCGGAAGCGATCAGAAGCCGAGACTTTGCGCTGGAAGCACGCTTGTTATCGGCGCTGCTCTTTGACCAGGTTCCTATGGCATCTTAATAGTGAGCGATCACATCCTTCAGCGGGTTCTTGCACAGTTCCTCGTGCGTTTATACGTGCAGCGAAGCGTCACACCTGGCCCTGATGCACGCCTGCATCGCGGAGACGTCGCGTTTACATCTGCGAGACGTGTTTTTTAGAGCGTTTGCTCATCTGTCTATAGGACGTTTCATATCAGACGTTTAGATGTATAATGCATGTAAAACTGACATCTTAAAGACTTCTGTCAGATGTTTGTACACCGCAGATGCAACAGACCTCTTGCAGACGAAACATGCATGTTTTATTTTTTTAAATTGTTTGTAGCATTTAATCAAAATCTTCCAGTGAAACTTCAGTGTTCTCAGTGCTGATGTTACAGTGTTGCCAACTGCTTTCAATTGAAAGTAGCTAAATGTCACTAGATGACATCACAATGGCAAAATCACTGATCTATATAAAGATGAATGTAGATCAGTGGGCAAGATGAGAACTTAGATAAGGTTTGTCCAAGAAGTTGCTATATTTGTCCCTAAACTTTTGAAAAAAAGTCTCAAAAGGGCCGGGGAAGTCGCTAAATCTAGCTACAAAGTAGCTAAATTGGTATGCGGGACTTCTCCAATCATTTCGTGCTCTTAAGCTCCGCCCCTGCATGCACTTGAGTGCCACGCCCACATCTCAACATCCAATCAGCAACTGATGCACAGAACTAAGCCCCGCCCCGCAGTTTTTCTTTTTTGATAATCCGTTACTAATGGATGTACAGTGTTATTATTTTTTCCAATTATGTTTTAATAGCGAGATGTTATGTCATTTAAACAATATATTTTCTCGTAATGAGATGTCGTTAAAATGCTATTTTTTGTAATAGCGAGATAATGTGTAATTAAAATGAGATATTTGCTCATTAAAACGATGTTTTCTCGTAATAACGAGATCTTATGTTTTTAAAAACAAGATACATTTTTTATAATGGTGAGGTAATGTGTCGTTAAAATTATATATTTTCTCGTTAAAATGGCATTTTCTCGTAATAACAAAAAGTTATGTTGTTTTGTTTGTAATAACGAGATAAACTGTTGTTAAAATGCTACATTTTCTTGTTAAAATGACATTTTCTCGTAATAATGAGACGTTATGTTGTTAAAAATAGTTTTTTCGTAATAGCAAGATCTATTGTTAAAAACAATAATAATGTCATTAAAACTATATATTTTCTCATAATAACGAGATTTGTTGTTAAAAACCTATGCCTTTTCATAATAACGAGATTGTTGTTAAAACGATGTATTTTCTCGTTAAAACAACATTTATTTGTAAAAAAGAGATGTGTAATTTAAACGATATGCTCTCGTAATAACGAGATGTTAAAACAATATATTTTGTAATAGCAAGATAATGTTGTTAAAGTGATCATTTCCCCTTAAAGCAACATTTTCTCGTAATATTGAGATGTCGTTAAAAACAATGTTTTTTTCATAATAAAGAGAAAATGTGTGGTTAAAACGATGTATTTTCTGTATTTGTTTTTCTGTTGAAATGTTCGGTCACTGCTTCCGTTTAATTGCGACTTTAATGCATCTGATTGATATCATCAGCCCGTCATATTCATCGCTGCTCTTATTGATGCACCTTTACCTTATTTGATGCTTGTAATTAATAATAATGAGCGTTTTTAATGCAAATGTGATGTGTTTGCGATTTGCATGTTTCTCCCTCCATCTCCAGGTGTTCCGGCGACCGCCGAGAGCTTTCTGACAGTTGTAGAAACATCCACGCTCGGGTGGAGCGGCTTTGTTCAGTGCAGCCGCATGCAAACGAGCCGATCGAGCCGCGGTACTATCGATTTTGATCTTGCATGCTTTCATTTGCACAGGGAGCTGGACACGATGATGGCGTTTGAGGAAGTTTCCAGAGAACCGCTCTGTGCTTCCCGGCTCTCGGTTTAACCCTGGAAATTTCAGTTCTCAGTGCAAACACTACCGTGGCCCAAAAGATCAACAGGAAATCAGAAGAGAAATCACAGCAGCTGAAGAACACTCAAATGTCTCTGGTTTCCCTTCGAGGGCCGAACATGATCTCAGAGCATCATCCGCATGCATATTAATCATATTCACATTACTGTGCAATATAGAAGTATGAAACTTAATATTCATTAGCCTCTGTAGGTAAATAACTAGCTAATAATACTAAAATTAATATTCATTAGACTTTGTAGGTAAATAACTAGCTAATAATACTAATAAATCAAGATTTCTTAGCTTTTGTACATAAATAACTAGATATTAATGCTAAAAAAAATCATATTTGTTAGCCTCTATAGGTAAATAGTTAGATATTAGTGCTAAAAATTAATATTAATTAGCCTCTAAAGGTAAATAACTAGATATTAGTGCTAAAATTAATATTCATTAGCCTTTGTAGGTAAATAACTAGCTAATAATACTGAAAAATCAATATTTCTTAGCCTTTGTACATAACTAGATATTAGTGCTAAAAATTAATATGAATTAGCCTCTGTAGGTAAATAACTAGATACTAATTCTAAAAAAGTGATATTAATTAGCCTCTGTAGGTAAATAACTAGCTAATAATACTAAAATTAATATTCATTAGCCTTTGTAGGTAAATAACTAGCTAATAATACTAAAAAAATCAATATTTCTTAGCCTTTGTACATAAATAACTAGATATTAATGCTAAAAAAAATTATATTTATTAGCCTCTATAGGTAAATAACTAGCTAATAATACGAATAAATCAATATTCATTAGCCTCTGTAGGTAAATAACTCTCTAATAATACTCAAAATTAATATTCATTAGCCTCTGTAGGTAAATAACTAGACATTCATTAGTATCGATTAATATATTAATAGAGAAATTATATCAGCTCTGAAGTTAAATAACTAGATATTCATTAATATTCATTAGCCACTATAGGAAAACAATAAGATGTTCATTTATGTTCATTAGTATTCATTACCAGCAACAGCTAAATTGTGGGTAATGAATATTATTATTATTGATTAATATTCATTAGTCGTTGTAGGTAAACAACTAGACTATTCATTTTGTTTAATTAATATTTATTAAATATTAATTAGTGTTACTTAATATTAAGTACAAGTACAATAGTCACTATAGTTAGACAACTAGATATTTATTTGTATTAATATTCATGAGCCACTATAGGTAAATAACTCATTTATTAGTATTAATTCACATAAATTAGCAGCAGGTAAATAACTAGAAGAATAACAGCATGCGGTAAACAGTACAACTATTTGTGTAATTATGATAAGTTACAGTCATATGATAATAATACCAGTTTGCTATATCAAGCTGTGTTTGTCACTGGAAGCGAATGACACCGGAGCACTCGAGTTCCCGCTCTTATGTTAAAAACGAGTGGATAATGTTCATCAGATGACCTCTGGGTGACCTTTGACCTGTCTGCGGGGTCACAGAGCGTCAGTGAGCAGCTTCACGTGGCTCTCTGTGTTTGTTCTGAGCAAAACAACTCTGGAGGAAGTTCAGGACTTTATGACTGTTTGCTTGTGCTTGTTTGTGTGTGTGAGTGAGTGTGCGCGTGCGAGATCAGCAGCACAAACACACAGTGATGGATATCTAACGCTCTGTTGGTGTGTCTGTAGTAACCGGAGTGCTTTCAGTCCGTCCGCGAGCCCGTTGCCAAATTCCACTTCCTCTCCCGGCCATGTCCCGCCCTCTTCAGCTAATGCCAGGATAGAAGAGGAACCAACCAGACTGCCTGCACACCTGCGTGAGTGACACTCACTCACACACACTCACACACACACACTCTCTCTCACACACACACACGCACGCACGCACGCATACACTCACACACACTCGTGCTTTTGTTCTAGCGTGCCGCATCAGACGTTTGCAGGCGCTGGTTGAGTTTGACGTCACTGAACACACTCAAGCTAGCTTTAGACCGGCACAAAACCCAACCATCAGGATACGACAAAAGCTGTGATTTAATTACATATATGCACTGCATATGAGGAGTGGTTTGCTTTTCATTTTACATGAATGATAGATAGATAGATAGATAGATAGATAGCGATGTGCGGATGAATATGTGTGTCTGGCGGAGCAGCAGGTCTAGACGCGTCCCGCTCGGATCAGGGTGGAGTTGGACGCGCTCCAGCTTACAGGATCTGATCAATATTTAACCCGTCTGTTTGACATGCGTGTCCTCGTTACAGACGGAAATAATCCACTGCTGGACTCCATCCTGATCCAGTGCTGTTCATTCAGGAAGTCACTCATAAACCCAGCTTTTGCTTTGATGTCCACTTCCTGTCTACTGACTCCTCGTGAGCCACGTTTATCTAGACTAGTTTATCTAGTCTGGTGCACAACACACCCAAAAATGAGTCAAATTATATATTTTTTAAGGTAAAGCAGATATATGTGACCCTGGAGCACAAAACCAGTCTTAAAGGGTTAAGCAGGTGTTGCAGTGCTTCAGTCCAAAAGAAGTTAAATAAAAAGCGCCCATCCATAAAAAAAAAGTGTCTCACACGGCTCCAGGGGGTGAACAAAGGCGTTTTTTTGAATCGATGCATTTTTGTAAGAAAAATATCCATATTCAAAGTGAGTGAGTGAGTGTGAGAGAGAGAGAGAGAGAGAGAGAGAGAGAGAGAGAGAGAGAGAGAGAGAGAGAGAGAGAGAGAGAGAGAGAGAGAGAGAGAGAGAGAGAGAGAGAGAGAGAGAGAGAGAGAGAGAGAGAGAGAGAGAGAGAGAGAGAGAGAGAGAGAGAGAGAGAGAGAGAGAGAGAGAGAGAGAGAGAGAGAGAGAGAGAGAGAGAGAGAGAGAGAGAGAGAGAGAGAGAGAGAGAGAGAGAGAGAGAGAGAGAGAGAGAGAGAGAGAGAGAGAGAGAGAGAGAGAGAGAGAGAGAGAGAGAGAGAGAGAGAGAGAGAGAGAGAGAGAGAGAGAGAGAGAGAGAGAGAGAGAGAGAGAGAGAGAGAGAGAGAGAGAGAGAGAGAGAGAGAGAGAGAGAGAGAGAGAGAGAGAGAGAGAGAGAGAGAGAGAGAGAGAGAGAGAGAGAGAGAGAGAGAGAGAGAGAGAGAGAGAGAGAGAGAGAGAGAGAGAGAGAGAGAGAGAGAGAGAGAGAGAGAGAGAGAGAGAGAGAGAGAGAGAGAGAGAGAGAGAGAGAGAGAGAGAGAGAGAGAGAGAGAGAGAGAGAGAGAGAGAGAGAGAGAGAGAGAGAGAGAGAGAGAGAGAGAGAGAGAGAGAGAGAGAGAGAGAGAGAGAGAGAGAGAGAGAGAGAGAGAGAGAGAGAGAGAGAGAGAGAGAGAGAGAGAGAGAGAGAGAGAGAGAGAGAGAGAGAGAGAGAGAGAGAGAGAGAGAGAGAGAGAGAGAGAGAGAGAGAGAGAGAGAGAGAGAGAGAGAGAGAGAGAGAGAGAGAGAGAGAGAGAGAGAGAGAGAGAGAGAGAGAGAGAGAGAGAGAGAGAGAGAGAGAGAGAGAGAGAGAGAGAGAGAGAGAGAGAGAGAGAGAGAGAGAGAGAGAGAGAGAGAGAGAGAGAGAGAGAGAGAGAGAGAGAGAGAGAGAGAGAGAGAGAGAGAGAGAGAGAGAGAGAGAGAGAGAGAGAGAGAGAGAGAGAGAGAGAGAGAGAGAGAGAGAGAGAGAGAGAGAGAGAGAGAGAGAGAGAGAGAGAGAGAGAGAGAGAGAGAGAGAGAGAGAGAGAGAGAGAGAGAGAGAGAGAGAGAGAGAGAGAGAGAGAGAGAGAGAGAGAGAGAGAGAGAGAGAGAGAGAGAGAGAGAGAGAGAGAGAGAGAGAGAGAGAGAGAGAGAGAGAGAGAGAGAGAGAGAGAGAGAGAGAGAGAGAGAGAGAGAGAGAGAGAGAGAGAGAGTGTGTGTGAGTGTGAGATGAGCTCGCGTCTCTGTTAACCCTTCACGACCCACAGTCCAGCACACACAAGCGCTAGTTACAACTTGTTTGATGTTCAGATGTGGCAGTGATGATGTCATCGGCGACATTAGCATGCTGACGCGTGATTGGTCTGTTGCTGCATCTGTTTAACCGTGTTTGTTTCATGTGCAGATCTACTGTAGTCTTTATTGATATTCATTAAATGCATATTAATGCAATGAAATTTGTTGAAAGACATGAGAATGAGCTGAGACAGGAAACTGATATGTGACGGGGGGGGGGTGTGTGTATTTCGTCATCCTCATCAGGTT